CTTAAAACGGTATCATGATCGTTAATTCATAATTCTCAGACATACAGTAGCTTGTCAACTCTTAATTCTTTCTCTAATCCTGTAGCATAACCATGTGGCGGTTAAAAACTGTTGATCGCACTTATACTGTACTTATAATTAATTAGGGGATTCTAGCAGTGCCTGTCAGAGATTGAATGGATAGGATAACAAAATTGATGAATTTGGTGGCTATAAAATAAATAACAGTTGATCGTCACAAACGCTGCCCTCATCCGTCTCAGGGACTCATGGATTTTTATTTAAGTTTTTGGTGCAAATATTCTGCGAAAATTGTGGTCGTATACTTTTATTATACATTTCTTTTAAAAGAAACCATTACTGTAAATTGAATGCAAAATATCAATTGAAGGGTACTTTATGACTATGTGAACTGGCAAGGTAATGTCAATTTGTAAGCAGCTATAGTAATACAAGTTTATTTTCAACACAGTAAAAATGTTCAAAATCACCAAATAAAGGCAGTATTTTTTAAGATATTAGATGATAAAAGATAAATTTTATTGTCATAACCACAAGGCAACATAGAAGTTGGTTGCTTGCTGTTCTGATACCATCAACATAGGTATACAAATCATTAAATCATTTAAATATAATCTACTTACTATGCCATTTATTATTAATGATACTGTACCCAAAGGATATAAATTATCATCACATAGCAATTCTGCATCTGACTATTACTGTAGGTTGTAAGTCCCATAGGTCTGAGATCTTTGACTGGCATTCAAAATACAAGTACTGTATGGTACAGTATACATGAATCACCCCACTTGACAATCGCACAAACATGTTGGTTCTTAAAAAGAGCTTTTAGTTTTAGACAGACACAACACATATGAATACTGGAGCAGTCACTCCATATATAGCACATACCTCCGAACAATACGCTTCCCTTTAAAATGAAACTTTTTTCTTCATTTTTAAGACTAACTTTACTCCAGAAACTAGTAACATCTAGTAGAATTTATAAATGATTAATAAATTAAATGATAAAGACAGTAGTTAGTTAGTTAGTGAGTCATTTAACAAAGGTAGAGGATATGGATTTTACATTCAGATCTAATATTACTAAACATTACACACATACTGAGAGAAAACATACCTCTGCATGAATAATTTTTGCAGAAATTAAATTATTCATTTACAACGATGACTATGATAGAAATGGTCAGAACTGGATAGCGGAAATCCAGGCTCAATAGATGGAATGGAAATTACTATAAAATTTGAAATAGGAACCTTCATTCTGTACTTATGAATTATCAAAATTTTCTGAAATAAGGTACAAGCAAATTTTGAGAGGAGAGGTATATGAAGAAGGAAGCTGGGACAAAGAATGAAAATGTGAAAGAGAGTACGAGATGGAGGTTTCAGTGGCAGATCCAGAAACTTGAAATAGAGGAGGCCCAGAGAGGGACATTCAGATATGAAAGGTCTATACTACCTCAGCTCCGCTATGGTTAGGCTGGGTGAGGTAAGAAAATCTATGATTATGGCACCTGTAGATGGCTGGAAATGGCACTCTTAGACTGAAAATTTTGAGTAGAATTTTTTTTTTTTTTTCTAAATTTTGACAAATTTGGTGGGGGGAGGGGACTAGTTCCTCCCCTTGATAGTTGTGAAGGGACAGGGAGGAATTTTCACAAATGGAGGGTCCAGCCTACCCAACGATGGTGGGGCTGAGGTAAGAACATTTAATTATGGCACCTCTAGATGGCTGAAAACAACACTCTCTGACTTAAATTTGAATATAATTTTCTTTTTTTCTCTATTTTTTATGCTGAAAAATTAACGAGAGGGGGTGGAAAGGCAGGTTAGCTGGTCTCCCTTTGAATCTGGCACTGGGTACTCGTCCATTTAATTTACAAATTCCAGATAACTTATACAGTACTATACATGCTAATTATACAGGCCTCCATGATGAATGAGAGTGTATGTATGAACTAGAAAAAGTTTGAGAATGTGGAACAATTATGAAATAGCTACTGTACTGGACTGAGGGTTAAAAGGAATGAGCTAAGACCTGCTACACTGTTGAAAATTGATTGACCTGATTCTTTATTCTTATGATGATGGACTGCAGTTGATGCACAGTTCTGTAATATTCTTGTACGCCGATATATTTCATGCGATGCTAGAGGGCGTAAGTCGTCAGACATCTGGGGCGGATTTAGAGGGGCGGGGAGGGGGGCAGGCAGGATTCCCCCTTATGGAAAGTAAAAGAAAAAAAAAGAAGAAAGAAAAAGAAAGAATTGATTGCTCAAAATGCGTCATATGTTATTTTTTGGTGTGTTGTCTAGAAAACAAAAAATTTTGGGGGGAAATTCCCCCGAACCCCCAGTACAGATAGTGTTATCTCGATCGGTCCCACTTTCATTCCCCCCCACCTCCCCTTTAACACATCTCTGTATCTGCCCCTGGTCATACAGTACACAATACTAACAAAAGGAGACATTGCAGTACATGAAATTAATAGTTTTGTCTACTGTAATTATTTAGGCAACAACAGAACTTGACGTTTATAGACCAGAGAAAAAATTTACAGTAATTAATTGATATCTGGTCAATACAATTTACAAAGCAAGTGCATTTCATTATTAATCTAAATTTTAAAGTGTTTATCACAGTGGCATAACTAGGGTGTTTTTACAGTCCCTGAACAAAACACCCCTCTCCCTCACCTTTTTGTTCAAAGGGACAAAAAATAATAAATTATTGGAAATAAATGGCAAAGTAAATTAAGACGGTAACAGCTTATCTATGATAGGCTTCCTCTCTAGTTTTGCACCTTGCGTAAAGTTAGTGTAATATTTCTATTTAGCACCACCTTTTCCTAGATATTTTTCTCTTTTCTGTCTTTTTCCTGGATATACTACTTTATTATTGTATCATATTAGTACAGAACTTTAAATCCAAACTGAATTGAGAAGAGAACTGAAAAAACCCCATCATGTAGATATTGAATACATTCCAGATTTTACATCACCATTATAATGTATTCATGACTCAGCTACAGTTCTATCATGATCTTATACTTTACTTGAACCTATGTAGTGAAGCATATTGCAAGAACATCAATAATGTGTTATGCTACTAGGAAGGTGAGAAGGTCAGCTAGGTTAGGTGAATGCACAGACCTGGGAAAAAGGCTCCAGACTTCCTTGTCAACTTTGACAGGGAAGATCATAACATAAGACATACAGTAATACTTATTTACTGTCTCCTTTCTATTACAGCATGTTCAATAATAATAACTACTGTACTCCTTGGCCATTCCATGGTCAATAAATTGATGAGCGACAAATTAACTTAAATGGATGCTCAGGAATAAGATTACGATCTGCTAATATGCCTTAATAATACCTCCAGATTTCTCAACTCACAACCTTTTTCAATACTACAACTCCAATGTCTAATAAACTATATGATTATCATTTGTCTCTTTACTGTATTCGATTACTGTATGTATATATTTATATGCCATCCATATTTTAATACCTTTTACTTTTTTGTTTGTTATAATACATTGGAGATCACGCCAAGGCCTGGGTCTCACATTATTACCACTGCATGGGATCAAACACATGTAAAACACACTCAGCTCCCTGTGAAAGCATCACATAATTGTAGATAGTAATCAACACACTGTCATTCAAACTAGGTACAACTTTCGCCTGAGTGGATGATGTTTCTTGTCATAGGACACAAGTAAAATGCACAACACTACAAGAGATTTAAAGCCTGACTTCAAATGAAAGCCTGAAACTCAACTGCTGCAAAAGGCTCTCGCTTATACTGTATACAGTGGCCGGCTGTAGGATATATATTTTTTTTGAGAAGGGGGGGGGGGACTGAGAGAGATAGCTGCCATACGAGGACCTTCTGACCGAGCCGGTCCCTAATGAAGTTTTTTTTTAAATAGGGACCTCTGGATGGCTGGAAATGGCACTCTCAGACTTGGCACTCTCAGAAATTGATAAATACAATCAAACTCAACTCAATAAACATGCATTTCACATCATTAGGCCTACAGTATTTCATTTAATAAGTTTAAGCCCCTGAGCTCCCCTCCCCCAGCACTACCACTGACTGTATATACAGGGGAAGGGGAGAATTGGCAATAAACAGTTGTAACTGATCAGCTCTTACAGTGCAGTGCGGTGCCAGGATGTTGACCTGTTATCTGCAATGAAATCTAGTATATTCAAAATCATATCTAAATTGAAACATACAGTCAGTTGTTCGCAGAGTAATGTGTAGTCAACAATCATTATAGTAAATTAAATGGAGATAAAATGGGGGATGGGAAGTTGGGAATAGAGTTCATTTTCCCAGAATCCCAAATGTTGTGACTTGCAAATGATAGCAGATGAGCTATTACTAGCACAACTGTAGCAGAGTGGTAAAATTTGAGCATGTTCTTACTGGTACAGAACTACTACACAGACAACGTTTTTCACAAATAAGGTAAATACAATTCTAATAACAACAAAATTACAGGGAAGTAATGTAGAAATTATGCAGGTACTACCAGTAATCGGAATGCAATTATCTTTTGGTCATCTCAGGATAATTTCCCCTCTGTAAATTGTAAACAATGTAATCTTATTATACAGTAAAAATAATTTATCATTGCCACAAACCAAACATTAATAATAGAATTGGAACCAACATAGGTCGATCGTTTTTTTTTCGAAATTGAACACAATGAAAACAGCTAGGGTGTCGGATGTCAAGACAAAGCCTAACTATGTAAACCAATGCAATGTGTCCAATGCGGCGAAAACCTGCCTGCTCTCAACCCATGTCCATGAATTGAGCTCAATTCAACAGGCTGAACATTTACACAATCAATGATGATGATAGAAATAAAAAAGAAATAAATTAAAGAGAATACACAAACGCTGCATCTATTCTATGTCAGGATCTGAACATCATTTTATAAATGATCGACTTACCTGTAACCACTGACCGTTTTATCAGTTAAAAATGAAACAAATCCGTAGCCTAGATAAATAAACCTAGTTACCACACTGTTGCTTATCTCAAAGACTGTTTACTTTACAGCAGATAGAGGGAGAGAAATCGAAGCCGAGTCTATTGTGATGATTCGATTGGTCACGGCCAGCTGATTACCGTATGTTTTCATCACGTGCCAATCAATCATCCGCTTTTGATCTTTCTTACCTTTTCGTGCGTCGGTCCCTGTATGTAGATTTCACTTAATATTTAATCTTATTGAGTATTTCTTTAATGAAGAAATAGGCCAAGGGGAGAAAAAATTAGTTTAAGAGTACTTACAAGATCAGAATATTATTCCAGGCCATTATTAATTAATTGATGATCATGTAGAATGGCGGCACCAGCGTCTGTAATCTGTGAGGGAGAGGGGAGGAGGCGGGGAAAGTGAGAGGAAAGTTACATTTTCGGGGGAAAATATGCTGGGGTGGCCCGAGGTGGGCGTGGTTGGGTATCGTTCAAAATGTCTCGAAAGTGGTCCTGGAGGCGAAGCCCCGAAAAATACTATGCCTATGTAGAAAATAAACACTTTTTTTCTCCCGATGGTTTTCTTCTCTGTGGGGAGGTGAAAACTTAAAATTAAAGAAGCCCTTTACATTGCTTGG